TACTGGAAATTAAGTTGCTTATCGATTTCATTGGTATACGATCCCATTCTTCCACTAATGCATCTGCCATTTCTGCGAGACTTTCCGCAGATCTCTCGCGAGAACGTACCCTTCTTCCTAATTCATTCCACAAATGTTCTATAGGATTCATATCAGGGCTTCTCGTAGGCCATTGTAATGTGGTAATACCAGTAGCTTCTAAGAAGTTTCGCACTATTGCTGCGGTGTGTGGTCGGGCATTATCCTGCATCAATATAAAATTATTGCCCACTAACTCTGCATAAGGTAAGACATACTGCTCTAGAATTTCAATGTAAATTTGGGCGTTCATGGACTGCCTCACCGGAAAAACATAAAGGTCTTTTCATTCATTGAAATCCCTCCCCACACCATAACGGACCCACCATTAAAACTTTCGCATTCTGTTATTAAATTTTGATTTCACCAGTTCTTCTCCACACTCTTTATCTTCCATCCACCATGTTATAACAAAACCTTGACTCATCCGTAAAGAAGACATTCGACCATTCAGGAATATTCCACTATCCATAATTTTCAACAAAATTTCTTCTAGCAACACGATGTTCGGGCAATATTTTGGGACCTTTTGCAGGTCTCCTAGCTTTCAAATTAACTTCTTTTAGACGTCTACAGGCCGTCTGATCACTTACTGCAACATCACGAATTTGGCGAAGATCTTGCTGAACATTTACCGCAGTATTTGATCGATTCCGTGAAATCTGAAATCTCAAGAAGCGATCATCTCTTGGAGAAGTTTTCGGGGGCGACCAGAACCGACCCTTCGAGCGGTGCTTCCTGTTTGTTCGTACTTGCGGATTGCTCTATGAGCAGTTGCTTCATGAACTCCCACTGCATGAGCGGCGTAACGTTTACTACGCCCATCGTTCACTAACCCAACTAATCTTGCTACTTGTTCAGGATTTATTTGAGGCATTTTATGTTATTTTAGTCAATGAAACAAGACACTTAATCAATGTCACAACGACAAATGGTCAAATATGGAGGCATACAACAAATTAGTTGCTATGGTAACGGCATTTGTTTTTTTGAAGACAATGTGATCCTACCAGAGTACAACCCAATCAATTATGAGTACTCTGATCCTTCAATAAATTCAATTTGTGGGATAATCGTAAGGTATCAGCAAAACAGCTGTAAGTCGGAAAATTTTAGAGATAAAAGAATGAATAAAAAAACAAAATGCTCGCAAAAGAAGTCTCTTTCCTATTGGGTGTAGGCACTTTGTATACCATTACTCAATTAACACACAGGGTGAGTCAAAAATTTAAAATAAATCATGGTTCCAGTTATTCCACCACCATCAAGGAGGCTTTGATATAATGTTCACTTCTTTATTTTTTTTAAAGACAAATGCATAACCTACCAACAATTAAAAAAAATTGGCCTACTATTTTTTGTATTTTTTTCTAAGAAGATAGTTCAAATATCAAGTGCGTCACTTTTTTTGGAACTGAGTGTATTTTAAGAATATTCGGTGGATATTCGGAATATACGTACTCTTCCTTTTTATCATATTTTGATAATATTCTAGGAATATTCAGTGCTCTGTGGAATCCAGTCATGGGACACCATCTACAAGTCGTTGTTCATTTTATTGATTAATAAGCTAAACTACTCATCAGGTTAGAATATCATGGATGAACGAACTTGTTGATTAGGCAATGAGAGGGAGGATACAGCAACTGCATAAACAACAAATCAGAACGAATTTGTTCGAAAATGTTTCACATTTTTCATGATACGCCTCCTATCATGACAAAATGTTTCTGGAGAAGTTTGAAGGTGTTTTCCGATACCATCTCTTCTTGAATATTTAGATCCCACTCCATCTTCTACATGTACTACTAGTAGTTCGCATTTATTCCATGTCAAGTCACAATTGGGACTGATAAACCATCATCAATAAACAAGTGAGAAGTCAGTATAATATTCTGGATATCTCAGCTGGGATGCATCAAAGTTTGGTCTCTTATCAAACAATATAATAACAAACATCGTTTATTTTGATTTTATAGAAAATACACTGTATAAATACTATGGCACTACAAAATCATAAAAAGTATTTACAAAAAATGCTCTACAATATCTAATGAAACTATCAAGATACATTCTGACCTTAAGTACTTCAATAAAATTATATAGCGAGTAATACTTGGGCAAATCAAAAATCAAATGGTATAAAAGTAGAAGGTAAATGACCATTGTCAAATAATTGATGATATATATCTTATTCAAATCTATTTCAAAAATTAAAAAGATAGATTGATGATTTGGTATCTCTGATGTAAATTCAAGTCAAAAAATAAATGCGAAACAAAATGAGATGAGTTGTTTCAATATAACCACTCAAACTGATATGATGAGATAATAAATATGTCTATACAAATTTCATTACTCTACTCAGTACCTTCAACAGCAATCGACCAGCGATATTCAAATATTAACAATAAACTATTTCTGGACTAGGTACCTATGTGTGAGTAAGGAAGACAACAATAGATTATTTTTCTATAAGAATGAAACAATCCAAATTCGACTATCAAATATCGTTGACATGAGTTTACAGATATTTTGTGATCCTAATTTCATAACATGTCTTTTTTTAATGCGAGAACTACTGAAATCGATCAGGACCGATTCTACCCTGTGTTTAGCAGGTGCGTATTTTTCATTCAATCATTCCTGCGAAAATTTCATGAATGAAGAATTGGAAGGAAATGTTGTGAATTTGAGATGATACCTAGACTTAGTTTTTCTAAGTTTCAAAATGTTAATTTGTTTCACATAATCAACATCACGATGGAAAAATAAGAAATTAGATTATTTTTCTGTAACCAATCTGCACTTGACGGCTAAACTGACAAACACATAAAGAATCTGTCAACTCTCTGAAATATTCGAAACGTTCTCAAAGATGATAGGAGTAGTGCACGGGCATACGGGCTCAATCTTACCTTCATTTCATGCTAATTACGTTTATGACGCATGCTATTTAGCTAGACAGTTCCGAACTACGTTATGATGAGGTAACGCAAGCTCGTTTACTAACCATGTGAGAGATTATGTAAATTGAGCCTTTATGCCCTCAGGTCTACTACTAATTCGGTTCATTGTGAACTTGCTTTCGTTAAAGAGCATTCAGGCAAACAACTGTCAAACTCGAAAACACGTAGAAATCCGTGCTACTGAAGCGTGAGGTCAGAGTTGGTAGTACTGATAAAGATGTTTCTTCTCTTTCTACGATATCTTCTTCGTGAATGTGAGAATATCAGTCTTGAACTTGAGGTTTTTCATCAGACCAAATATCATTTTTTCCAAATCTTTTCGATGAAACAGACCACAGCCTTCGATTTTCGACTTTTGACATTGACCTCACGTCTTATAGTTATGCAACTGGTGAGACTGAAAATGTTCAGTACTCTCATTGATAATCGCACAAAGGAATCCCAAACCTACTAGAATCGGCCTGGAATCGATAATAGCAGTCTCGTTATGGACAGTTTATTCATTACTATATTTGACACGTACTTCTCAAAAACTATTTTTGGTGGTAGGAAGATCATACGAAACCGCTCATAGATAACAGGACTCATTCATCATCCTATAAACTTCATAAGTACTCACTAAATTTTCAACAATACACTCATACTTGGTGAAAGTATAACAACAAAAATACTCCAGTGGTGCAGTAAATCCAAAGTTTATTCGAAAATAGCCAGCAGTGATTTTCATTTTTAGTCCCCAAACTACTAATATTATTCTCATCAAATTCCAACTTTTTGAGGTGAAGGAACATCATCATGAATAATATGCTATCAAAAATTGAAAAATTGTAAGAAGCAATAACTCGAAGAAGTTCCTCATAATTACATTTAAAATGTGATCTTCTTTCGAGACATAATGAGAGTTCTCATGATTAAAATAGGATTAGTGAATCTACGTGGACACGGGATCAATCGTCCCCAGTTACAGTGCAAACAAAGACATAGGCAGAAACAACCTTGAATTTTTGAGATATCACGTTCCGACGTAAAACTGACATAGCCTACTATCTAGACCGCTACAAATTAATGTCATATCTCACCAACACTGAAAACGAATCCAATTGTTCACTAGAAAACGCTTCTGAACCTTTGCAGAGTGCAAAATGATCCAAAGTGTCATTCATGAAATCGACTTGTGACTTGCAGTTCGGAAACATGAGTAGAATCGAGTGAGCTATATGACAGGACCTAAAAATGCGTATGCTACAAACGATCTGTAACTCTTCAAAGAGTGAGGACACGCATTTAATGTTGTTGAATAGCTGATCAAAATTCATTCAGACTCATTATTATTTTAAATACTGATTTTGTACTTATGAAAATATTACATTATTGAATGTATTTCCATGAAATGAATATTGGGATTTGAAGCTTTATCAAACACTTAAAATGTCTTCTTGTCTTCAGGAAACACAAATAAATAGTCACTATCATTCTTAGAATTTCTACAATTCGTTATCTACCAAGAAGAATTCGAAAACATTTTCGCAGGGGCGCCTATCCAATTTTCAGAACTGACGATTCAAATTTGAGAATTATGACAATTCGGAAATGTCAGAAGTTACAAGCGTGTCCTCACTCTTTGAAAGGGATTCTCTAGTTCTATCTAATAAATGGATAAGAATTCAGCGGTCTAGACGTTTATATTGGTACATGAATACCGGCAAATAAAAATGACCTTAGTGAAAATTCGATGTCAAAGTTTTGCCACAAGAATACGTAACATATGCTCACAATTTTCCCAAAAATCGCTGTCGGCAAATTTTTTTTTACAGTCATAGATTTACTCCACGATAGAGACAATGGAATAGGTCACCATAATTCCCATTCAGTTGATTTGGCACCAAAATTCGAGCTTAAGCTTCTCCATACAACAGACATTGCACTAAGTCTAGCTTTGCTGTTCCACACACGTCACACAGGTGAAACATTAGAATTATTCTTCAGTTTCCCATTGGTCAGAGGAACCGTTTCTTCGGGTGCTGTGATGGTCACTGGTATGGGACAAGGCACCTTCATTTCGATATGGCCGTCATCGATAGACAACGAGTCCATGCTGTACAGGGTGTCACTAGAGTGTGTACGCACTGAGGGAAAAATGCCATTCATGCGGCTTTGCCCTGGAAAAAAAATTAGTTGCTTCAGTTATGATTCATAGCGTATTTCGACTGGATGTACTAGTGCACGTTTAATTCCAATTATTGTCGTGCGTGTGTGTTCGGCTAGTATGCAATGCACTCAGTCAGTACCTACGAATATTTTTTCTATTCGGCTGAACAGCTGAAAAAATCATTATCTCCGACCCCCAAAACCCCGAGACACCAATTTTGAATAATAAAGGACTGCAATTCACGTCTAATTTATTCACATAATTCTCCCAAGCATGAGATTTTTTGAGGAAGCCATCGAAAAATGTTCTATCAGAATCGGATCATAATTACAAAAGTCGTCCACCATATTGAATCCACCATCTTCAATTTCCCAATTTAGATAAAAGATAACCATAATCTTCGTACCCGAAATCCCCCAGATACCAACTTTGAATAGCATCAGATCATAATTACCAAACTCAACAGCAATATTGGATCCGCCATCTTGAATTTCCTCATTTTTACGAAGGAATCCTAATCTCTGACATCGAAAATCCCCAGATAGAATCGTACCATTATTAGAAGATTCGTCTGTCATATCAGATACGTCATCTTAAATCATCCAATTTTGACGAAAGAATCATGAACTCCGATCCCGAAAATCCTCAGATACGTATTTTGAATAGTATCGGATCATTATTACAAAACTCTTCCGCCATATTGGATCCGCCATCTTGAATTTTCAATTCGAAAAATACTGAGTCTCAGACCTACCAAATATGTAGAGAAGTTTTCATACCGATCGATCAAGCCTTTCGGAAGAGTTTGACAACAACCACCGTGACATGAGAATTTGATATATATCTCCCAATACCAAAACCGCATTGTTGAGAACCACTGTGAGGTTAAATTCTCCTTTTGCTTATATCTTCACTGTAGTAATTTGAACATTCCCTGTTTGGTCGAGTAGGTACGTATTGGTGAAGGTTTTTTGATTCCTTGCAAAAAAATGAGAGAGCAGTTTCTCAAAACCTCTTCTCAGAGACCCAAACTTTATTCGCAACTTCTCTCATAGCCTTAAGGAACGTTTTATCTAGAAAGATATGAAAAAACTCAAGAAACAAGCAAGTAGCATTTTGAAGTATTTTACTCAAAAAATGACACATCACTGTATGAAGATGAGACACAAGGTATATTATCACAATTGAGATCAACTAAGATATTCACTGAGATGTACGGAAACTATTTTCATTAGGAACAAAAATTACAATAGTTGAGAAATTGAATGCAAGCTCTAAACCCTGTGTTTTTATTTACTGTAATCGATAAATACAACTACAAATTTGTAATTATTACAGTATACTGTGTTCAGCATTACATTCAGTGTCAATAAAATTGATAAACGTCCATTGCAATCGAATCAAAAATATCTTACAATAATTGTAATGATATACTGGATGTCTCTTCAAAATTTCAACATTCGCTAGTACCTGACACCCTATACCTACATAATATATAGTGTGTATAACATTTCAAATTTAGAAGTTGATGTGTTTCATAAAAAAACACAGAATGCCCCTATAATGAATATATATCCTCTTCGAACTCTTGTCAATTTTTTGAGAAAATATCTGATTAATTAGGTAACCTAATTTGTATCATTATCACTACACCATACACAATAATTTATTCACATTTCGTGTTTCCGTGACGGTAATAAGACATACAGGAACAAGATGATCATAAAACTAATAGGTGTGCTACAGCAACATATGTTATAAAGCTGATGCTAAATGAGAAGCCGTTGTTTGAAAAAAAGCTGAAAATAGGGTGAAGCAAAAATCATAAATCCCTTACCGGTTGTCAAGAACTTTGGCTTTTCGACTGTAAAGAAAAAATAATCGATTTATAAAACTAGACAACAACAAAAAAAGACACAAAATGCAAATGCAATTTGGGTTTAACTTAGACTGATGACACAATTACGAATGGCTCATACCACATATGTTTCAATGAATATCAAAAATCAGGAAAACCAATCTTTGTCAATATACCATTTAAAAGGGATATTTCATTCACCGTGACGTCATTTCCATTTGGATACACCTCCCCTACCTGCCCTTGGCCTTGGGCTTACCAACTCCAACGTTGGTAAAGGTGGTTAATATTAGACTTGAAGATTTGTTTTCTTGAGGGGAATATGGAAGATGGAGGATATGGAAACACTGATGAAGTGGATGTCGAAGTACAAGATACACGGGCAAATAATGTAATGAAATATGTTTTTTGAAACCTGGATAGATTATTTCCTAAAGAATCAGATTTCTTTCGCATGTTACTTAGTCATGGTGGACTAATCCCAGTACCCCAAGTGTACTGGGACTAAGTAACATGCGAAAGAAATCTGATTCTTTAGAAAATAATCTATACAGGTTTCAAAGAAATGAGGGTTCCGATGACACCTGATATTTTTTATTAGAGAAGTGATTGTGGCAATACTCAACAAAACAGAGGTAAAATCATCCATCAACAATATGGTTATATACACAAAACTAGTTTCTTTCATTTTTCATTCCCATGGACATAATCAATTAGGTTTTACACATTACATTAACAATAAAGCAAGATTCAAAATGAAAGTGTGAGGTTATAGCAGGCTAAAGTGATAAAGTGAAAGAAATAGGAATTAAAAATGATCAATGTTGACGTCATTACCGTGCCTCCCACCACTTTCACCTTCACCAAAATAATGTAACCGGATTTGAAGGGTAATAAGAATGAAATATCCGTCTTTAAAGCATTCAGCCAAATTCTATCATTCCCATTTGTATAGTTTTTGCAACTTCACATGATACGAATTTAACAAAAACATCGCCATCAGCACGCTATCTGTATAAAATTTTCAAAGACTATAGGCACTTTATAATTGACTGTGTGGGTAACACTGGAGCTGCTCCAGAGCAAGAAAAATTGGCAGGAACGCGTTCTTTTTTGTTTTTGTTAGTGCTTGAAGCCCCTGTGATTCATCCTGCTACATCATCTACTTCCCCCTACCCCTCTGCCACTGTCAAATGACAAGCTATTTCTGCTTATGTTCAATGATTTTTTTTCTATTCTCACATGTAAGTATCAAAATTGTTCAACTCACAATTATAACATGCTCGTCGCCAGAATAAGACAACAAAAATGCGATATATTTGGGAGTACCTCAAGTGCAACATGTAATGTACTGGGCTGCTCAGGTGCATCAAACATGAAAAAATAACTAATAGATGAATAGAATGGCGACCGTTGAATATGATTTCTGGTGCTGAGTTAGCGGGAATTTTGTAGAAATGTTGAAGAGAACCAATTATTAAATTGTCGACGCTTCGGAACTTTATTGTTTCATCTTCAGGACACTGAAATGAAAAACATATAGGACAACAGACAATATTGAAAAAAAACTCTTGAACGAACAGATTGAAATAACAATACATGGAACAAAATGTGTCAACAAAAGATCAGATATTAAGAATTTACACACGTCATATTCCAATTCGATAGGAAAAATCAAACATTAATTCCAAATCATCAACAGACGACTTTTTCTATTCCCGATTATCATTTCTTTCACGAGCCTTTTTTGCGATATAAAAAAAACGATTCAGCGACAGTTCAGTTTGTTCATTTCTTCGTGTACGTGTCTTTGTTAAGGTCGTTCATGAACCTGTGTAGGTATACGTATTTATACTTCATGTCGATTTTATTCATTTCACCATTTTTGAACCCGAAAAGCCACCCTAAATGTAAGTACCTATCAATGTTGTTTTCTGTAAATTGTTAGAGAAGTCTTTTATTTCCAACGATTGTTATTTTACATAATTTATTTTGTTATTATTATGTCTGTTCTTGTTTATTCAATTCAGTGTCCTGAAGATGAAACAATGAAGTTTCGAAACGTAGACAATTTAATAATTGGTTTTCTTCAACATTTCGACCAAATTCCCGCTAACTCAGCACCAGAAGTAGCTAATAGAGTTCAACTCACCTAAACCCTCATTGCTGTACATAGCTCGGCGTTCATCGAGCTCCCTAGCGCTGCAGAGAGGAGTATCTACTTCGATGGTATCGTTGAAAAGGGCGTAGTCCACTTCGTACTCCCCAGAATCTTTCTTGAACGTTATCAGCGATTGGAATCTGTGACCCCACAGGATTTCCGATGGAAGGTAGCTGGAACGCGCTTGAGTGGTCATGCCAGTCGATTCTATGACGCCCTCTGCAACATAATGACTATAATGAGCCCTTTAGAAAAGTGAATTTAGGGTGACTATGAATGGGGGGATACAGGAACTGCGGGGTGAATTGGAACAAAACTTCATATTTTCAAATTACCCACTGAAATCTACAACTGATTTCATTTTGAGAAATAGTATACTTGTAAAAACTTCACAAACGATAAGATTTCCACAAATTTTTAAACACACGACATGTTTCGCTAACACAGTAGCTTCGTCAGGTGATATACTGGTACAATGAACTCAACTAACGTTGGCTTGCTTAACTTTTATATATCTTACTTTCCCAATCTGAAGGATTAGTTACCTGTGGACAGGTACGATGAACCTCCATTTTCGGAAATTAGGCAACAATATCTACATTAAATCACGGTATACCGGATCAACTTGAAAGAGTTGATATCAAATACATAATATTACTTACTTAGGAAACAAATTCAACAGTGGTGAATTAAGGTCTAATTGATCATTAAGTAAAATGTTGAAATTTTTGAGTTTGTTGATTTCTAATGATTCAAAATGATTGAGTTTCAGTCCTTTATTTTTTACGTGCAGAATTTCGAAATTATCATCAAAACTATGGTTTTCTTCTAATATATGGTTGGCGTATGTTCAATTTATTAGAAGAACACCTTGTTTTGATGATAATTTCCAAATTCTGCACGTAGAAAATAAAGGACTGCAACTCAATCATTTTGAATCATTAGAAATCAAGAAACTCAAAAATTGTGACAATTTACTCAATGATCAATTAGACCTCAATAGTTCACCACTGTTGAATTTGTTTTCTTAGTAAGTAATAATATGTATTTGATATCAACTTTCTCAAGTTAATCCGGTATACCGTAATTTAATGTAGATATTGTGCCTAATTTCCGAAAATGGAGGTTTATCGTACCTGTCCACAGGTAACTAATCCTTCAGGTTGGGAAAGTAAGTTAAGTTAAAGTTGAGCAAGCCAACGTAAGTTTAGTTCATTGTACCAGTATATCACCTGACGAAGCTACTGTGTTAGCGAAACATGTCGTATGTTTAAAAATTTGTGAAAATCTTATCGTTTGTGAAGTTTTTACATTTATCATGGATTTTCATCTAGTAACGGCCGAGTCAATTCAAAACATAGTATACTGCATAGTTGTTCAGTATATGGTTTTATACTTGTCTATCAAAATGAAGGGGCGTTCAAATATTGTTTCAAGAATGTTGTATATCATATAGAAAATATAAGCATGAAAATTAGAAAAAAATAGTCTTAAGCGGGATTTATAGATTGATGCGCAGCCGCTATACCGCTGCGGTTGCAGCCGCCGTAGCAGTTCTGAAAAAATGAGTCAATTTATACTTCATTCCTGGGGTCAACTGTTTTTCTCTATCAATAGATTTTTGTTATGTTTATCTTTCTAATTGTATAGATGGGTAGAGCTCTCTACCAAATTTAGGAATACTCCTATATCAAAGTTCTTCATTTTCACTATAATTTTCCAACATTCAACAAGGGGAAACCAAATTTCAATAAAAATATAACATAACCTCTAGACTCTAGTGGATATTCTGATACAGACACAGAAACACAGAGCTGGAAATGTCAGCTTCAAGATCATCTTAATTTATGTCATTCGGCAGCTGCAGCGAAGCTATAAACGTATACATTTCAACTACACTTTCAAAGTTTGCTGCGCCACAATCTATAAATCCCGCTTTAATAGCTTCATATGTCGAAAGAAATGATTATTACAATATACAGCGTTCATTCCGTACAGGCAAATGATATGTAGTAACCATTTCACTAGCGAAATGCCGCGATATCACTGCTCAACTTTGATTTGATTCTTCGGAAATGACATCAACTTCTTCATTTCAAACAAGACAAACAGGATATTATTTTACATTCAAATATGGTTCCTGACATGTTCCTGATAAAGTGAAATGTTCAAATTGTTTTAATGACAATATTTATTTATTATACAGGGGAAAAAAGCTCGAGGTTGTGTTGTCTCCCGACGCGTAGAGGGAGACAATTAACCGTGACCTGAAATCTATCATTTTTCCTGTGTATGATGAAATATCTTCTCCTGTGACACGAAAAACGACGATTCGATATTGAGAAGAAATTACATATCATATTGAAATCAGAAAATTATCGACGTGAAATTTGAAAATTTTTACTTCAATTACACTTGCGTTGCAGGTATCTTTTAGCAGGCATCTCCACCATTTTCTCGAACTTAAGAGTAATCTAATATCGGCCAGTCTAATGTCTAAACTCTATTTGACTTGATTTCGAAGAATTGCGACCAAAATCATCTCCACTTTGCAAGGAATGAGGTTGGGAACTATATTTCGTCTAATAACTAACCAATTTACGATGGTATCTAATAATCATATCTAAATAAAAATTACCTAAGATGACGACGATTTCAAATCGCTCCCTCAGCAGGTTATTGGCAGACATATTATACAACGGAGATTTGCTGTCTATTTTGTGGACGATGGTTGTAGGCCAAATGAAAAAAATCTTCTCCTCTTCTCCATCGCCTCCTACCTGAAAACAAACAACATTGAGAGGGACAAATCTTTCATCTCTCGGTGTGAAAGTTATTTCACACACACACACCTCGAGCTGAAATCCAGAACTGTTTGGTCCAAAACAACCTTCATGGTCTGAATGCATCTTGACTTTTGTATATTTTTTTCAATTTATCCAATTCAACTTGTAGAAAATATAATTGAAACAAAGAAGTGATAGTAGGAGATTCGGCTGAGAAATTCGTCCGTCTTCTAATAACGATGTGAGAACATTGTATTTCATCGAATGGCACCTGTGCCAATAACCACTATCCTGAGCAGATTGATTGAAAATTTGCAATTCATTGTGCGGTTATTTGCACTCAATTTTGCGATCTGATAACGAGTTTAAGACTTCTGATACCATTTGAATGGTATAGATCTCAAACTCCTTTCTGTGCCACTCCTTATTCTGAGTCGAATCCAAGGCACAGCGATTCATTTGCTGCCATTATTCCGGACATACTTCCATCATGTGATAACGACTTGAAAAAATGGAAATCAAAGAAGACAATGTCCCGTTTGCGAAAATACAAACGTGTCGCAAATCAAACTGATCAAAGTTAGTGACAGAGCGTCAATTTTTTCGAGAATATTCGCCCCTCTCGAAAGATAACGTCCGATGGACCAGTGTAAAACTCAACATGTGGATTTGAATACTTGTGGTCCGTGCATCACATGAGTTTAACACTGATCTATCGGATATTATTATCTTTCAACAGGGCTGAAATATTCTCGGAAATATTGACGCTCTGCCACTAAATTAGAGCAGTTTGAATCGTGGAAGTATGTCTGGAATAATGGCAGCAGATAAATCGCTATGCCGTGTATTTGGCTCAGATTGAGTGGTGGCACAGGTATAGGTTCTAGAGATCTGCCATTCAATTGTTATCGGATCGCATAAGTATCTCGTATCTCGTTATCAAATCGCCCAATTGAGTGCAGATCAGGAAAGTGCAATTTTTCAATCATTTTGCGCAGGATAGTGATTGGTATAGGTGCCGTTATATAAAATACAATGTTTTATATAATTTCATCATCTTTTCACCCGATGAATTATGGCAACAATAACCCTATTTCAAGGCTTCAAAGGAATTATGTTTTTCAAAATCACCTATTCTGTGACAGTCTGTGTAAATTCAAAACTAATGACGTGAAAATAATTATGACTACATAGTTAATGTAATAGCTGCTACATCTCTATGAGTGTAATTTTCATTGCTTCTATCATTATTCATCCTCAGTTATTATTCTTTTTATAAAAATGGTGTAACAGTTGAAGTTAATAAATAATCATACGGCCGGAATTTGCAGCCGGCTCTTGGACCACATTGAAGATTAGAAAGACCAAACAGAGGTTACTTTTGCGCCACCCAGGGGCCAGATCGAATGATAAATATATATGTATGAATAGTAATAAAAATACAGATGGCGTACCTACCACTGTAAATACTTACTTTATTGCTTACCTTCAGCTCCGTCTGGAAGAACGGAAGGTGCTCCCCCTCTTTGGTGACCTTGTGTCTGATGAGCTGCGCGCGCACGTGGGCTTCGATGATGTGGCTTTTGCGCATGTCGCCCACTCTGAACATCAGACAGGGCACTCCGTCCCGATGGTTGATGACGGCGTTTCGAGAGAAGAGAAGCGTTTGTGTGCGTTTCTTCGGTCTGGACAGTTTGGCGAAAACTACGCCTACCTGCGGTAGAAAAATGTCTGATCAGACTTTGATTCAGTACCGGCACCATATTGAAAATATGATTCATAGTGTTCGCTAGCCCAGTCATTCAGCTATAATCTGGTACTTCTTCGAAACATAAAGGTGTTAACATAACATCTCTGCATGGTGTTTCCCGCCACTGTGCAAAATTTAGGAATATTCAAAAGAATCCCAAGTGGAGAAAAAAAAATGTTTTTTCAACTTTGACATCAGAGGCATGAAGATGACCCCATTACCTTGAGATTTTCCGTGAATTGTCTTTCTATCTCTCTTACTTACAGAGTGATCTCAAAAAATCAAATTTATGGTTTTGGAGTCATAACTATTTTCCACGGCAACCGATCTCTCGAGATATATCAGGCTCATTTTGAATATGAAACTTCAGATGGAGAGGTGTGAAGATCAGAATTGACTCAAGATGGATATCAAAGATCAAGAGTTTTTTCAAAAGTGACCCAAATCTGGAACTCCCTTACGGTTGGGAGGGGAATTAAAGGAAAATTAACTCGTTCTCGGAAAAACAATTGATTCTGGATGCGTTCAGATTTTCCTTGCTCTTAGTAGTTGAGAATTGTGAGTGGAAAAACCCAATTGGAACATGATTTTGAATGAAAATCAGACCATTGTTCGCCTGTAATGCATGGCCCATAACCAACGTTACAAGAATCACAATAAGTGAACCCGGCCAGCTGAGGCTCATCATGAAGGGTGTCCCAACAAGAGCATCAGATCCAAATTTGCCGCCATTTCGTTAGCACGAATTGTATGGTGATTTTCTTCACAGTTGTCACGTACAGACACATTACATTACAAGAAAACAAGTTTCATTGAATTCTAATTGAACAGCAAGCAAACGAGAGTAACAATATAAGTAATCAAAAAATAATAACATTCAGTATTTAGTGTGTCCTCCCCTTTGGGCAATCACTTAATTGACCCTATCTAGCATGCTGTCTATCAGCCCATCAATAAATTCCTGAGGAATAGCTGTCCCTCCTCTCAGAATCATCAATCCACTTCTCCTTTCCAACGATATTCCACCCCACACAGTCACTCCTCCACCTCCAAAAGCCACCCTTGCCTCCATAATCTCTGTCAAAAACCTTTCATTCCTTCCTCTCCATACCAACACACGCCCATCCTTTCGAAACAAGTTGAACCTATTCTCGTCCGTAAATATACACTTATTCCACTCTGCCATTCCCAAGTTTTGATGTCTTTGCCCCTACAATCGTCTTCCTGCGCGATGTACAGGTTTCAATGAGGGGCAGGCTGCTCGCCTCCTTGCATGTAAAGCAAGATCGTGGATACGGCGTCGGATGGTCTGACTATAGAAACCTGTATATCACTAGCCTCTCGACTAGCCTCGATAAAATCGCGACGAATTTTGGAGGCGGTTGAAGTCCGGGTTTGCCTTACAAATCTCCCAATAAGGCGGCCTTGAGCAAGAGTTGTTCTCTTTGTCATTCCCCTTCTTGGCTCCTTCGGCTGGTCCAAAATATCCCCAGAGTTAGCTCGGAGATAAGCCCTTTGGATGGATCTGACAGTTGTATTAAGCAAATTAGCGATTTGAAGGGAAGATAATACTGCTCGTTTCCTCATTTGTTGAATCAGTTCCAGCTGGTCGGGCGTTAAATGCAGCATCAAAACTATCAATTTTTGTATACGATTTGAAATCGACGCCTAACCTGACTTCTCAGTCACTCACTGTTATTCTTGTAACGTTGGTTACGGGCCACGAATTGATTTTTATGTTTTAATTGGGTTTTATTATGCTCAACTACTGAGAGCAAGGAAAATCTGAACGTATTCAGAATGAATTGTTTTTTCCGAAAAAAAGTTTATTTTCATTTAATTCTCCTCCCAACCGGAATTCGGGGGGTGTTCCAGATTTGGATAATTGCCTCGGTCATTGTTGAAAAAAATCTTGATCTTTGATATCACTCTTGAGTCGATTCTGATCTTCACATCTCTTCATCTGGAGTTTGATCTTCAAAATGAGCCTGAGATCTCAAAAATCGGTAGACGTGGAAAAAAGTTATGACTTCAAAACCAAAAAGTTGAGTTTTTAAGATCACTCTGTAAATAAGAGAAATAGAAAGACAAGATATCCCAAGATAATGAGATCATCTTCGTGCCTCTGTTGTTGAAGTTGAGAAAAACATATTTTGCTTCATTTGGGATCCTTGTGAATACACATGGTAATAACCTAAAAGTAGTTAAGCAAGTTGATAATGTTAGGAAATTATATGCATATGAAAGCTTGGAGATATTTAGAAAAAGAAATAGAGTAATGAATAGGGATAATGAACCTATCCCATTCAGCCCTGAGTGATATATATAAGACCAAGGTTAACATCTGAACTCAAATATGACTAACATTAACTTGGCGGTTATTGTCTTCCACGGTTGAGTAGATATATACCCAGTATATAAATAGCACACTAGGATAGAACATTTAGTCCTAATCTTCTCCTGATGATGCTAACATAGTTATAGAAACATGTGTCGAGGTGTAAAAAATTGGTTTGCTTAGTGGTAAAACAGTGTGTAGTGTATTATCGTGCCAAAGTTTCTAGTCTTCGATATATCTATCCATACAGGTACTCTCAATTATAAAAATTCTAATGAATCACCGCTGAACTACTTATTCAGTGATTAAATGTTCGGTTTCGAGAAACCTCATGAAATATTTCAGTAGTGCCGTTTTTGGCCGGTATGTGTATGTTATGATGAAGGTTTTACCATGAATGCCTGTATCATCACTCCCGCTATGCTTTGGATGCACATAACGAAGATGGCTTCAGGGCATTCTTCCGTGATGACTCTGCCACCATAGCCGATGGTGTGTTGAGTTTCAATACTGTACAGGAAGGCAGAAGTAAAACCTCGGATGTTGGTTACGCATGGTGTCCAAGGTATTGTCCCGTTCTGAAAAACAAACGATACGACATTAAAATTGATGAAAAAATATTAACATCGACGATGTAACATTAGTAAAATACAGTTATTTGAGCATGATTACAGAAATTACTGAAGCGCTCCATCGTTGTTGGTATGGGATGTAATTCTGCTGGAAACGTTGCAAATTTTGCTTTCGCTAGACGCTCCGCCTCGCAAATGCAAAATTCGCTTGTCGAACAAAGTGTCACTTTTGATCCTAATGAAACAATCTACTATTCTTTGCCATTTACATGAAATATAGGTCCAATCATTTCATTCGGGAAACAAAATGGCAGCTATTATATTATTAATCATGAAACACCATCGCCGAAGGGAAACAAATGATATTGTTGAAGCAAATTCGATTTTGAGACTACGAAGGTCAATGTCCAATAGATTCATCTGGCTCTTTTATTAATGTACGATAAGTGCATTCTGTACACCCTGAAGATAAGGTGGTTAGTCCCCGATCCAACCAAAATGTTCGTCGATCATATCAACTTGAAAATTAGTGAATAATTAGTTGAATTCACAAAATGCCGAACATAAACAAATGATAACAAGGCCGTCCGCCTTACCCTTTGGTCGAAGGTCGGGTCTACAAGACGAGTCATCTTCATGATGTTATAGCAAATTCCACATCAACTTTATTGATGAATGACGGATGATGATCATTATTTGAATGCTCGAAACATGTCTCATCAAAAGTAATGATGCAGAATTGACTGCACTTTTCGCCATTGGACTTGTGGAGAGGACTTTGAGTTTTTTCTTGTTTAAACGATTAACAATTAATCAGATTTCATAAGAGAAACAGTTCACTGTGTAAACAATGATGTCGAAAAATCAAAGCTCAGTTTTCAGATTGGAACATGATATAATATGAATAAAAATATGATATAATAATGAAACATAATATTTCAATAATATCCAGGATGGATTCGATACTCAAAGTTGAATCTTCAATATCAAATTCACAGAATTTAACAACAATTCGAACTGGAATAGTTTCGGACTCAATTATTTCATTGTTTCCTAGACTGAATTAAATCTGGCACCAAACGTTACTGCGTTTCATTGGGGTTGTGTTTCCATTGTTAGCTTATTTATTTATTCATTCATCATGATCAATATATTCGCTGTTTTCGATGTATTCGTTGATTCATTTGTTTATTGTATTTAATATTATAGGTGACGTTTGTTTATGCTTCTCACCCTTCCGTTTCCAGTTGGGGCTATTTTGGATGTTACGAACATGCCTATCATGCCTATATATATTCATACTAAATTCATCGTTCTCCGCCTAAACATTTCTAAATTGCTCTAGTTCAGAAATAGACTTGATCTGAATCCTTTCAATGGGTATACTAAAAAAAATATACTTGAAGAAATGGGCGAGTGGGTTCCACTGTGTCGTTAGGAACCTAAATTAATTTTTGCAACACATCTCACGCTCATTTTGTGTAAATATTGAATCTATGCATAGTTAGAAAATGTTGAATTTCAGAGCTCATTTCAAACGAACCTTCATGGCCGCCATTTGGTGATACGTCATATAAATGGTGCCGTCAGTTTTTATGCTGTTTCGTTATAGGTCACATAATCTTTCATTTCCACTCATGAAGCAGAGTTGTCAATTCACCAATTATAATCAAGTTATCAGAAAGATGTTAGAGTCTGTCGCAGAGTCATGCTGCTCTGCGAAGAACACACAGTAGTGGGTAGGTTTTGATATCCCATCAGTCACTTGACAGTGGCATTAATACAATTTCCTATTTCTTCGTAACTACTCGGCATGGATGTGCCAGAAAAGACACCTCCAGCAACCTCTTTTTCAAAGAGAGTGTCTCGGTTGCCAACAGGCCTGAAAGATTTCACGCCTTTTTTTTTTTTTTTTTTTTTTTTTTGTAGGAAATCCATCATGGACAAATGCAGCTTGTGTGGTCTATCGCTGCAAATAGTGTCGGACTCTTACCGACTAACACCTCCCAATTTCGTCCCGAGATACTAAGGCATCGTTATTTCTAACATTCTTCATAGTATCTGGCGGTCTGAACTATCCATTTCCGTCTGCTCTCTCCCTCTCGTCAGCTTCTTTTTGCCTCAGGATTGCTCCTGCCAGTCCTCTTATCGCCTCCCAACTATTTTTATTTTCTATTATTATTCTCCCCAGTGTATCCTCCGTCGGAATTTCCTCCATCTCAGCGTATGTTCTCTGGCGCTCTGCCTCCCATCGTCCACACTGGAACAGAGTGTGTGCTGGAGTGTCCCTCTCATCGCAGTACACGCATGTGTCAGTTACACTTTTCCCTATACGCTTCGTGTATGTTCTGAAGCATCCATGGCCGGTTAGTATCTGCGTTAGGTAGTAGTCCACTGTTCTGTGTTTGCACTTGTAGTACATTTCTATATTCGGTATTATCTTCTTGGTCCATTGTGCCGTGTCCGTGTTCGTTTGCCATTCCTGCTGCCATGTCCTCATAGATGTTTCCCGTTCAACCGACCTGGCGGCCCTTCCATCCTCTCTTTCGTGCAGTCTCTTGCGTTCTGCCACTAGAAGGTGGATAGGCACCGTGCCAGTGATAGCTTGTACTGCCCTCAGGGATGTTGTTCTGTATACGCTAGCGACTCGTAGGGCTATCCTTCTCTGGGTCCTCTCTAGCATCTGTCTGAATCTCCGGACATTCAGATAGTCTGCCCAAACTGGGGCACCATATAGCAGGATGGAGTGCACTACTCCACTCAGTAGCTGACGTTTCATGCTGCTGGGTCCACCGATGTTTCTCATCAGCCTCGTTAGCGTTGCTGCCCTTTCCTCTGCCTTCGCTGTTGCATACTTAATATGCCTCCCAAAGCTACCGACATCATCCAGTATGATGCCTAGGTACCGTACGCTTCTCTGAGGTTCGATTTCTATGCCTTCTAGGTGAAATCGGGGCTGTTCCCTGTCCGTTTTTTTCCTCGGCCCGCGAAGTATGACAGCCTCGGTTTTTTCAGGGGCTAACATCAGCTGATTGCGGCTGATCCATCTAGCAATTATTCTAAGCGACTCGTCAGCCCTATATTCAAGTTGGCTCACATCCTTTCCGGTAGCTATAATTGCTATATCGTCTGCGAATCCGATTGACCTTGTGCCATCGATCAGTTGCTCCCTCAAAACTCCATCGTAGAAGAGGTTCCATAGTAGCGGACCTAGTACCGACCCCTGAGGTACTCCAGCTGTTACTTCCAATTCCTCTTTGCCCGCGATGATCTTCCTGTTGCTCAGATAGCTCCTTATTACATTTCGCAGGTAGGTCGATATCTGCCGTCTCCGGAGCTCTGCCTCTATTAGTTTCCACGATGCTGTATTGAAGGCGTTTTTTATATCTAGCGTTATCAGCGCCAGCCACCTCTCCTGGCAGGTCGTCACAATTTGCCTCACTTCTTGGACTGCCTGTACGGTCGAATGTCCTTTACGAAATCCGTGTTGGTTTCTAGAGAGCCCCCCGTTATCCTCTATTTCTTGCTCTAGTCTATTTCTGAGTAGGCATTCGTACACTTTACTTATCGCGCACAGCAGGCAAATGGGCCTGTAAGACGATGGTATTCCTAGAGGCTTTCCTGGTTTTGGGACTAGTACAAGTTTAGCTGCTTTCCAGAATGTTGGGAACTCTTGTTGTCGTAGTAGCTCATTGTAGATGTCCAGGAGGAAATCTGGGGAGATCTCCGCGATTGCCATAATGGCTTCCGCCGGCACACCGTCAGGTCCTGGCGCTTTTCTTTTTTTCGCGCTTCCAATTGCCTTCAAGAGTTCTTCCATAGTGAAGGGGTTTGTTTCCTCCAGAGGTTCCCGTTCAAGGCGGTGGTCCTGTCTTTGTGGGAAAAGGTGTTTTGCAATGTCTATCTTTTGGGCATCCGAAAGGTCTACTGGTGTGTGCTTTGTTAGTTTTCCACAAGCAATCCTGTACCCATCTCCCCAGATATCTTCTTCGAGCTCGTCGCATAGATTTGCCCAGTGTTCTTTCTTAGCATCGCGTATCATTTTCTTTAGATTTCACGCCTGGAGGGACTGCAATCACTATACTCCTTCCATCGTCTCACGACGACAAGTCCTGTCGTTGAATAAAACATAATAGGAGGAACCCATGATATTTCTGTTCATTCTCTACTCATTGGAGCAACCAGCATGTCCAAATATTCATATATTATGCACAACAAAATATCATATGAATGTTGGAGACTTGGCAACATTGTACTGAATGCTGAGAACTGACAAAACCACGCCCACAAGTCATACGCCGTGGTTGTCACGTTCACCGATTCAAATAGCCTCTGTAAGTGTGAATTAATATAATTAGTATTTACACGAATTTATTATAAGCAATAAGACACAAATCATATATTTATTGACAAAACATTTCTTGTTCAATCACTTCCCGTTCAACATGAAGCAACATCAACTTTTGATTTTTGAATAGGGCATCCTGTATATTTTAACATATTTCATTCAGGGGATCGCTAAACACACACACGCCATACTTTTTTTGATCTTGATGTTGAAATATATAATCTCCTTTATAAAATTTAAAAATGTTGATGTTGCTTCCGGTTGAACCGGAAGTGATACAATAAATTTGTTGTCGACAAAAGTCAATTTGGTATATATCTGCAACCCACCAAATTTCGTAGTCCGACCTAGAATGATTCAGAAATTCGACCACTGGCTATTTTTTGTGCACTTCTTTGTATAAAGTTAGGTAAGTTAATGTTAGGTTCTATTTTCTGCTGTAGGTGGAACATTCGTACCAAATGTGATAAATTCAATTCTGAGTGAGGGTTGCTGGGCTGTGTGCACGTAAATATATACCAAAGAAGGGAAGATTTGTATTTCGTGCAAAATAATTTATTCAATATTTGTAGCAGAGAGCGCTTTCGACTGTCAAGTCATCGTCAGTGCGTACCTGTAAGTAAGTAAACTGCTTTTAGCTATTCGAAAGAAATTGAAA